GTTGAGGGGCATGTTGTAAATATAGTGTCAGACACTACCAAGGATCTTGTATACCCTCCAGTCTTTTTCAAGTTTACATCATGCATGTGATCTATAAGTTGATTTAATAATTAGTTTCTGTTTCTAACAAATTCAGCTCCGTGTATTTGCGGACAATGTCGTGGAAAGCTCTGAGGTAACATCCGGTATCACACGAATTGGAGATTACGAGCTTCATGACCTTGTTTTGATGGAGTAAGATTTTTCTTCGTTTAGGCATTTATCATCGTCATAATCATTATTGTCTATAATATTTACTGAGATTAGCTGTCATCAAATTTTTTGTGCAGTGATAATAGTTTTGGTGTGATTATACGTGTTGATAGCGAAGCTTTTCAGGTGAGCTGCTCGAATTATAAGTCTAAAGTGATTGCGCCAAATTATTGTGCTGAATATGGTTCCATCTTTCACTAGGTCCTTAAGGGGGTCCCAGAGAGGTCAGATGTCGCACTTGTGAGGTTAAGGGAGATCAAATACAAGATTGACAAGAAACTTTTTGCAAAAGATAGGTACAAGAACACACTATCAGTGAAAGACGCAGTGAAAATTTTGGATGGTCCATGCAGGGTCTGGTCTCAACTCTTATCATTCATGTTCTACTCTTGGATTGGGTATCAATTTTCTGACATAATTGATCTATTTGTGGACCTCATTCCTAATTTTGTCACACTGTAGGGTAAACAAGGTCCTGTTGAGCATATCTACAAAGGAATTTTGTTTATTTATGATCGACATCACCTTGAACATGCTGGCTTCATTTGTGCTAAATCTGAATCTTGTATGATGGTTGGTGCACGTGCAAATGGAGATAGGAATGTAAAGAATCTTAGCACTTGACTGTTTTCAGTTGTTACCAGATTAGGTTTATATACTTAGTGATGTTTATCCAAATGTGTAGGGTAACTCATTCCCATCAAGATTTAACCATCTCAGAACCCCGCCTCCTGCTCCCCAATCTCCAATGAGAACACCTAGAGGCGGTCCTATTAATTGTAAGTTGCAAATGTTAAAGGCTTCATCATACTTTGGGTCTCACTCTTGGCCTTCTCTGTGTGCGCTGCCCAACTTGAAACATTCTTGTGTACTGATGTGACGTGGTTACATATTTTTGCCCTTTAGTGCTACTTAAGTTCTGCCATCATCATCTTTTTCTTCCTTAGTGCTATCTTTTTCATGTCCTCAGGGGGAGTTTTTGGCTTTTTTATTTTGTCATGAGTTCTCTCTTGTAACTGTTATTGCATTTGATAGCGGGTGGAAGACATGGTGGTGGACGAGGGCATGATGCTTTAGTGGGGACTTCAATAAAAATTCGTCTCGGCCATTACAAGGGATGCAAGGGCCGTGTTGTAGATGTTAAAGGTTCCTCTGTTCGGGTTGAATTGGAGTCGCAGATGAAGGTTGTTACAGGCAAGTTTCCTCTGTTCTGACAACTTATATCTCGTTTTTATTTTTATTTTTTGTTAGCCAACTAATATTGTGAACATGGTCTTTTTGTGCAGTTGACCGTAGCTATGTTTCTGACAAGGTGAACGTCTCCACGCCATTTAGGTAAGTAGATGTTTTTTCAGTTTTTTTATTATTTTTATTTTTTTTGGCTTAAACTTTCTTACATTGGTCAATTGTTCCAGAGAAACATCCAGATATGGTATGGGAAGTGAGACGCCCATGCATCCTTCTCGAACTCCACTACATCCATATATGACTCCCATGAGAGATCCTGGAGGTATGCATTATTTGGTCCAGCTTATCTAAAATCTTCTTGGTTGTTGATCGCAATAGTTCTAATTCGTTCTTTTTTTGTTTTTTTTTTATTTTTATTTTTTGTTTTGTTTTGTTTTGTTTTTTTTTTTTTTTTTTTTTTTTTTTTTTTTTTTTTTTTTTTTTTTTTTTTTTTTTTTCCTGGTAGCTACTCCTATTCATGATGGTATGAGGACGCCTATGCGTGACTGGGCATGGAATCCATATACACCTATGAGTCCACCAAGGTATGTTGTCTTACGAATCGAAGTTGATGTTTTGCGCTCTCTATTTCAATTTCTTATTTTTTTTCAATATAGAAATCACGTTTAGGATAAGTGTACTGCAAAATATTTCTTAAGAATCATTAATTTCATGTGTTCATTTTTAATTCTTTCTCAATACGATAAAAAAACTAAGAGCTTACAGCAACACGGCATGTATGTACAGATTTTTGTATCTTCTGTGGCGTGTTTGAGCTGTAAAAGAATATGCTGATTACCTTTTCATGATGTTATTATCTCTGTTGTAACGATTAGGGTCCAGTAATTTGAAGTTTCCATGTTACTGATGTAAGGTTAAATAACTGCTATGAAAAAATTCCAGGAACAATTGGGAAGATGCAAATCCTGCTTCTTGGGGAACTAGTCCGCAGTATCAGGTTGGTAAAAGTTTCTCGACTTTAGACCTAACATAAGTTGGCCAGTGAATATACACACCAAGTGACATTACATTAATCTCTTAACCATTTTCAGCCAGGAAGTCCTCCTTCACGAACGTATGAAGCACCTACTCCCGGTTCTGGTTGGACTAGCACTCCTGGTGGCAATTATAATGAAGCGGGCACTCCAAGGAATAATACTTCGGGATATGGTATTTACTTCTTTACAATTTTTCTGGAAGTTGTATCTGCCAAATAGTTTCTCTCCCATCTCATGATAACCTCATTTCTTTCTTGCAGCAAATGCTCCAAGCCCATACTTGCCTTCTACTCCTGGTGGACAGCCTCCAATGACTCCAAGCTCAGCTTATTTACCTGGTACACCTGGAGGGCAACCGATGACTCCGGGGGGTGGCGGCCTGGATATGATGTCACCTGTCGTAGGTCTGTCCTACCTTTTTGAGATTATTGCCACTTTTTCATCTATGTGCACTACATGTCATTAAAAATGTTTGTTTTGCAAGTTTATGGTGTAGAAGAATTCATGATGCATGCTACCGTGCAGGTGCTGACAGTGAAGGACCTTGGTTCTTGCCGGAAATTTTGGTCAATGTTCATAGGCCTGGTGAAGACAATGCTTTGGGAGTTATCCGAGAAGTTCTTCCGGTATATATATACTTTTGACATCTGCCTTGCAATATTGTGTTTTTCTTTTGCTAGCTGTACATTTTCCTTTAGAAAAGTTGTTATATGTTTGAGAGCATTTCACCAACTTCCCCAGAATAGTGGCAAAAGCTCGTCAAATATTGACTTGTATGTAGTCATTGAAATCAATCAGGAGCTGTCCTGTGAAAATGAATGGATGTTGATCATCCATATATTGAAATAAATGATGATATTAGACAAACTTTTGTAGTAGTTTGGATTGAGAGCAAGAGCTGCATGCTGATTTCTGCTTCCCATACGGCCATACCCATATGTCTAGATCATGGTCTCTACAAAATGAAGGATGTTCAGTTATGAGGTCCAAGCAGTTCTTTCTGGTTTTTCTGAGTAGGAATATCTTGGCTAACTGTGGATTCTGGAAGTTGTCCGGGAAGTTGGGCTAGAACTGCGGTTTTGGTCCTGAATGATATAGTAGTGGGTTTAACTATGAGTTCTTTTTCCTTTTTCTCAAACGAAAAAAACAAGCCTTAAAATCTTAGATGATGAAAATGTTTTCTTGACCAATTGAAATCAATATTAACTGGTATGGCCTGAAATTAAGTGCTTGGTGCCTTTCTTTTATGATTTTGTGATCCATGCTTTTTCTTTGTACATAGTGAAAACCAAATGGTTATTGTTCTTGGAAACAGTATCAGTTGAGGAGTCCCAGTCTGTGAATACCATTAAAATTTATGTGATCTTTTTAATGTGAACTTTTATTTAGTTTGTATTGCTGTATAAACCAAACAGCCTGTTTAAATCAAAACAGTTAAATGATTATTGACAATCTTGGAGATGGTTGATGTCAATTTGCTGATGGCATTACGTTTTTGGTTTATTAGGATGGTTCCTGTAGGGTTGCTCTAGGTTCCAGTGGGAATGGTGAGACAGTCACCGTCCTTCCCAGTGAACTCGAGGTGGTTGTGCCAAGGAAGTCGGACAAAATTAAGATCATGGGTGGTGCACAGCGTGGGGCCACCGGGAAGCTTATTGGCATCGATGGTACTGATGGCATTGTTAAAGTTGATGATACTCTGGACGTGAAAATTCTAGACATGGTTATATTGGCCAAGCTTGCTCAAACCTGATGATGAGCCATTTATACACACCCGAGTTAATGCCATCGACTGATGCCAATGCATTTATGTTATTTCCTAGTCGCGACTTATGGGTATACTATTGATATGTCAAGCTAAAACATGGTCATCACTTTCGTGCTGCTCTCAACATGCTGCTTAAGAAGACTGTTAAGGTGTGGTGTTGAGGAAAGGAAAAAAAGGGTAAATGGCTTTTTCCTTCTGATATATCGGATGTGAAAGAGGATAGAAATGGCAAGGCTCGCCTTTCCCCTTAGAAGTGGTCATTTAATTTTTCAGCTCTCTTTTATGCTTTGAAAATGTAAATTTTTTTACCATTGGAAATGAACGACCTTTAACAAAACTGACGATACTGAAGCACTTTTAGCATTTGGATTTTTTCCTATATATAATGACCATTCTTTTCTCTGAGATATAATTAGAGCTTCATATCAAGTGCGAAATGTTTCTTGTTTCTTCCGAAGGGAATAGAAAAATGTGATATGATTGCGTTGGACTGGCTTGCAGGAATTTGCCGTTTTCTTTTTGTGCTTATTGAACCTATGTTCGAGCTTCATTTTTGGAGAAAATATATTTTGAAATAGTATTTTGAAATAGTGATTTGTTGAAGAATGTGGTTTAATAATAAAAATAAATTTTGAGTTTACATGTAAAATTATTTAATGTGAAAATATATAGTAGAAAATGAATTTTAAAAAATGGGTTTTTTAAAAAATGGAGCCCAGTTAGGAGTCAAATATAATAGCGGAAATTTTACTTGGATTTGATTTTTAATTTCAATTTCAAAAATAAGATTTGAAAGTTTTTTGTACAAAAAAAGGTGATAAGTCTATTTTTTTTAATTATAAATGATAATATTATAAAATTAAATTAATCTACCTACCACTTCACCTTGCCCCAATTCACTCAAAACCCGTTTCATTTTCTTCTCTCTCTATCCTTTCCATTCTTTCTTTATTCTCTCTGCCCATCTTTATTTTTTATTCTTGATCGGCGCTAATAATGGCGATGCTACTGATCATTGTGAGTGCTTGCTTGTGTCGGTCAAATTGTCATTGCTGTGCATTGTCGTTGAGCGATGATCAATTCGCCCCGTATAGTGACTCAGTTGGTCGCTACTCGCGACAATGGCAAACTGAGTGTCCCACACGGTGGTGAATCTTAACTCGTCACTACCGTGACTCTCATGTTTGTAGTGTAGCAAATGTTGCATTGATATTTATTGGTGGTGCCGATGATGGTGATACATCACATGTAACATATTCGAAGTTACATGTCATTGCACATTGGTCACAAATAAATATTCACAAATCACAAATCAAACAGAACTGGTCACAGATCATGTTTACATGTCACATGTCACCCCGAAGATTACATATCAATATCAATGTCAAAAATTAATATTAATTGGTCACAGATCACATGTCACGTCTTTGTGCACTGATAATAGATTATAAATTCAAGTTCACAAATCACAATTCATATGTTATAGGTCAGAGGTAACCATTATCAGGTCATAGATCATATTGCATAGGTAGCTAATCAATGTGCATAGATCACAAATTGAAGAGAACTAGTTACTGGCCATTAAATTAATATCACATGTAACAACTTACAGTCACATGTAACATTCCATAGGTCACTGGTCACAAGTTCAATGGAATCGGTTATAGGCCATTGATTTCTCTGATGTTAGTTGTTACTATTGCCTTCAAAAATTCTGATACAAGGTGTCGACGACTTTCAAATTGTGATATCAATTGTCAGGCAGGTTTTAATTAACCAGATTTATGGTGAGAATTAAAGTTATTTGTTTCGATGACCAGATTTATGGTTAGAATTGAAGTTAATTGCTTCGACGAATTCTCTGTAGATTCTTTTTTGACGCACAGTGTCAACAACTTCCAACTTGTGACGTCAATCATCCGACGGGTTTCATTTAACTAGATTCTTATTCCATCTTTGTTTGATCTTCTGATACACAATGCTAACAACTTCCAATTTATGACCTCAATCGTTCGATGGGTTTTAATTCACTGGATTTCGACAGTGGGAATCGAAGTTATTTGCTTCATCGAGTTCTCTATAGATTCTCTCTTTGTTCGATCGTCACTCTTAAAGTAGAGTCCTGTTTGAAATGGAAACGCATGTAATTGAATGCTTAAGTTTATAAATGAAAAAAAAAAAAAAAAAAGATTCAGACACATATATATCTCCCGACTTTTAAAATTTTAAACCTAGTTTCTTAAAAATGAAATTAATATAGTAAACGTATCTGATTTATGTATTGTTCCTGATAGTGGATTTGATGTACAATTGTGGCCTATACATGAAAAGTCATAATGTAGCAATCAAATAGGGCACTTTCTTCTGCTGTACATAGTGGCTTTATTTTTCATTATAGTACATTATTTTATTTGATTCCTCTAAAGCCCCCATTTGGCCCTCATTAATTTGAATTATATTGGGAAGGATAATATTTTCTTTGAAAAATGAGTAGCTGTGAAAGAATAAAATTTTTTCGATTTACGTGTAATATTATTTTATTGAAGATTGTGATTAAAAATATGAGAGAGAAAATTTTAATTTAAATTGATAAAATTTAAAGAGGCTAAATGGGGTAAAAAATATACTTTAATGTGATCGATGCTATAATTAGGAGAATATTCCACTTTGGTAACTATTATGAATAATTTATAAATGGTCAAATTTCATTTTCAATCATACATTTCAAAAGATCACAAGTATTATTCACTTATTCAAAACTCATTCTCATTTCATTTGTAAAATTAAAATTTTAAAAATTAAACTAAATAATATAATGATAATTTTTTTGTTGAGTAGGTTCTACAAAAATATTGTTAAACAAGTATCTAGAATGGAGACGCATCTTTTTTGTTGAAAATGATTTGTATTTAACACAATACAAAATAAATTAACTTTTAAAAGAACTCTTATAAGCAAATTGAAAGCTTAGTTAAAGATGTATTGTTCTATTAAAAATTAATTGTGTGTAACATTTTAATTAAAAAAGTGGTACAACATGATATGTCACTTTTAAATGAAAACGTCACAAACCATGTAAATTATCTTTTCATAATAAAATCTTTAACAAGAAGACTTTACCCCCAATATATTAAATCATAATCCCATAAAAAGAAAAAAAAATATACAGTTAAATGAAATTCAAATGAACTAACTGTTGACCCCAAAAAGTGCGCCAACAGATGTCGGTCCCACCCGCGCTTGCGTGGGCGAATGTCCAGCACGCTAAGACACGTGGACGGTCTAAACGAGCGGTTCAAAGGGGCGTGGGAGTAGCCCAACGACGCGGGACGGTGACGTTTGGGATCCGGCGGGTTGTTCGTAATCCGGTTGTACAATGATTACCAACCGGTGCTCGTAGATATATGCAAAAATGTATAAACTCGATTTGTGTATTGCCAGTAAAATGGGGGAGAGTTGAGTAAAATGTAGTCTTTAGTATTGATTCTTGCATTAGTCCTTTGACGTTATACAATGGGGGTATTTATAGTGATACATATGGAATGGGGGCCCTTGGATGAAGTGGCACGTGGCCTCATCTCCTTAGTTTAAACGTCTGTTCTTAGGCATGGGATTTGACTTGCTAGCTTACGGCGCATTTATTGTTTGTGCAGGACCTCCACGCTAATGACAAGACTTGACCTTTATGCTTATGACAGACATTCCATCAATCATTCGAATAAGATCTGTGCAGGCGATCTCTTGGGAGAAGTGACCATGGAGGATGTTTCCTTGTGGTTGAGGATCGCGCATCAACTCCGGGGCTTCGTCCATTCGAGGACCTCAGCTACAACCAAGAGCTTCCACGCCTCGGGCACGGAGCCTCGGTTAGAAGCAGTTCGGATGTAACCCACCTCGGCAATATGGCCACCTCGGCAGGAATGCCACGTGGGTCAGGATAAGTTGGCCCACTGGCCCAAGTGGATAGGACAGGTGTGACAACACGCAACAATAGTCCCCCAAGTCCAAGTATGATCATTAATGTAATGCGTGGACTTTAACGGAGTAAAAGTTGAAAGAATTTTTGAATTTTTTGAACCGGTTTGAATGCCGAATGGCATATGAGGAAGCCGAGGTGGTTGGGAAACTGAACCTGCGAGGCTTGAATGCTGAATGCGCCAGAAGAAGTCGAGGTGGTTGGGAAACCGAACCTGAGAGGCTTGAATGCTGAATGCGCAATGGTAATTATTGTGCTTTGGTCTCTGTGCCAATGATTTGATGTTTTGTGCTTGTTTTCGAGGAAAGGTAGTTGAACCGTTACGACTTCCAAGGTGCTGGCGCCGACGAATTAAAAATGCAATTATGAGAGCAGCTGGCGTTTCTAGAAGCAGACGCGCTGAAGAGGTGCGTGTGAGGAACGCATAGATAGGAGGCGTAGGATTTCAAAAACTGTTTGAATTCAACGCCTCGGATTGGATCTGAAACGGAGGGCTCGGATTGACTGAGATTTGATCTGACGGGTGGGGTTCGTCTTGGACCCTTATAAAAGGCGAGAAAATCCCACTTTCCAGAAATTTTGAACACTTTGCATTCTCAAATTCTCTCAAATTTCCCATTTTTCGGCGTCGAGGTTGTCTGCGATTAGATTCCGACCGGTCTCCATTTGTGTTGAACTCTTTTAGGTATTGTTTGCATAAAAAACCGTCGTTATTCTTTGTCCTCAAACAATGGAGTTCACTTTGGGTAGGGAACTCGTCACAGTAGCATCTTTAGATCATGGGGTAGGTCATGGGGGGACTTCCGAGGTGGATAGGTATGCCATGGCCGAGGAGGACGTGGATTATACCCAGGAGTGGGGGGCTTCTAGAGTGCCCTCAAACATGACGGGGAAGAGGTTGGGGGAGCTTAGGGAGAGGTACAGTGTGCCTCATAACATAGAGATGTTAGTCCCCGAACCGAACGAGCGGGCCTGCTATCCGAGGCCCG